TCATGTGAGTCTTGTGTGGGCTCTTGAACCTGCACTAATCTACCTTTGTTTGCCTCGTTCCGTAGCTACTCCATGGATTAGCAGTGCTCTTCTCTGCTTCGGTGCACCATTCTTGAAAGTACCGCCGACATTACAATCGAGTGGCCAGAACGATGATCATAGCAGCCAGTCTCGCAGCAGCAATCGTAGCACGGTGGCTAGCCACAACTCACACGATATTCATGGGGAGACAAGGACCAAGGGACCAGTGGGTGGCCATGTCATGCTATGCCTTTCAATCAAACTGGCCCATCTACTAGCTACACTTTTGCATGGTGGAGTCTAGGACTTCGGGTTTAGATCCCTCCACACGCGCTGAATCCGAAGCGGTTCTGGGTTCGGGTCGACGGATTAGGGTAGCTTTCCGGCATCACCAGCATTCACGCTCTGATGCCCCACCCAACCAAGCAAACCTGGAATTTAGTAGCTTAGGGCCTGGGGTATGGGTTTAGGGTTCAGAAGAGATTGGGTTTAAGGTTTGGAGCTCATAGTTTAGAGCTTCAGATTTAGGATTTAAGCTAGGTTTTAAGTTTTTAAGGTCTGGGTCAAAACCCTGGAAGAAGTGCGAAATCCTGCAGTGTACGACCATTGGAAAACGAGTCCGGATCCTCCCTCAACAAAGAAGCCCAAAATCCGAAACGGCCGTAGTAATCATGGATCCTGAAACCACGGAACCCTGCACCAAAGCTCGGGTTTTGGCCCATGGTGCAAAGAGCTCGCAGAACCTCAGCTTGGGGAGATGATGGTGATGAGAATCGTCATGGCGATGACGATGACGATGACGATGATGAGAATGATGAGCAGGAGTAGGCGGAGGAGGAGGAGAAGGCTGAGGAGGACATGAACTTCTGCATCGTCATCGCAATCCTCATCTTCATCCTCATCATCAGCGTCACCCCCATCAGCAACAACCACAATCAGCTTCAGCTACGGCCACGACAGCTTGGCTGAAGCCACCAAGACGGCCTCCACCTCACACCTCGTGAAAAGCCGGGGGGCGTAGAAACGAAACAATACATACCATACGGCTGGGCAATGGTTCATGAGACCCAAAAGCAGAGCAGAAAAAAATAGCATCACGATCATGCCATGAATGGATGTGGAGGAGGTGGTGTGGATGCTGCTGAGCTGCTGCTGTAGATTGCTGGTGCTGGTCTACCTCTACTGCCAGCGCTGCTGCGGCTGGTGGTTGTGCTGATGTCGGGTGATCGTGGCACTGCTACCCTAAACCCCAAACCCCAAAC